AAAAAAAGCCAATGTCCAAGGACATTCGGGAAGTCACTTTGCTAATAAATGACAGAATTGGAACTGGAAAAAAAAAACTATTACATATATGTGTGTGTGCATGGAAGTGTGCATTTGTATGTATGTAAATGTAGTTGTATATAATCAGGAGATAGTTTAGGTCTCTAAAATGAATGGGTTATTACTTTTTTCAATATTGGTTGAAGCCACCAGAAAGACATGTCAAAATTTTCAAGAAGGGATTAAATACAATTCAAGCCTGAGATGTGCTTATTGGTTATCAACCATATGTTTCTGATGCTCACTTGGAAATGCCAATTGGCTGAATGGACAGTTTTTATAGTTGAAGATTTATCTTGCTGAATGGATTAGGATAAGTATATATTTTCTATATATACTTCTTCGTAACATTGCAATCTTTGTTTCTTTGCTATGAATTCTGTGTCTATTTCACAAATGAGACCTGCCAAAAATATTCAGTGAGATATGCACTGGATCAAATCAAAGGTGGATTTATTTATACAAGTAACTGAAAAGGTACAGAGAAGATTGGATACGAGCTCCCCACACTGGCAGTAATAAAGGCCAGCTTTCATTCTGCCAATCTTCCCTGGTCACTGTAAAATGCCTCTCAACAACTCATAAGCATAACTTGATGCAGAGCCCAAGACAAAGACCAAATGACTTCAGAGATTCTCTCAAAAGGCAGAAAAATTCTGTCACTGAAGGTGCCAAAAAACTTCATGTGTATCTTAATGGTCTTTCTTCAGGTACCTGCTATAGCTTGAACCAAGAACTAGCTACAGGTGTTAGATTATCTAATAAGTTAAAATCTGAGCTAAGTGCTGTGATCTATAGCCCTAGATAAAGAAAAAAACATTAGTTTATCATGTTTTCCTTGCATTTGGGCAAACCTACGTGTGCTGGTAATTTGTAACCTTCCTAAGGAGACATACTGCATTGTTCTTATTGAAGATTTTACTTTAAAACTTGAACTAACTAAATAAAATCTGGGGCAGGGGTGGGAGGTGAGCAGGCTTTTGGTTAAATGGCTGCCCAGGGCTCCTGTATACCATATTGGAGTGGCAGGGTATGATGCCAGAGTCGTCTTGTGACTTCAGCTTCTTGCTGGTGTGGATCCCAGAAGGTAGCAACAGTCTCCTGCAATTGGGTCCTTGATGCCCAAGTGAGAGAAATGGAATGAGTTTCTGGCTCCTAATTTTAGCTGACCCAGTCCTAGGAAATGTGGGCATTTGGAGAGTGAGCCCGTGGATAAGGGCTCTATCTGCCTCTCAAAAAAGTATGAAAGAATGAATGAAAACTTTGAAAGAATGGTAAATGTAGTTTCCACATGCACAGCATGTATACTGCGTAATTGTTGTATTATAGTTGCTTGATCCCAAGTCTAGCATCTATCGCATTAGGTTTTTATGAACACTTAAAGGTGGTAGTGCTTCACAAAATCCCACATTTCTAGAATCAATTATATTTACATGAGATTATAGTGCATTCTCAAGCTCTATAAGTTGATCACCACACTGCACATAGTGCATTCAAACCGTAGAATTTTAGAACTCTGAGAAATAGGTTTCTGCACCAAACTTTTAATACTGATAGTAATATACTTTTTGATAATTTCCCTGCAAAGTGTAATACTCATTGTAGGCTTAGACAGATAACTTCTTTTTTAATGTTAACTAGATGCTTTCAAAAGGTATGTAAGACTGCTGCAGCTTTGAATTTCTCAATGTTCTGCTCCTACAGTTGAGTAACATTACCGATTACCATGGATTTCATAGGTTTATACTTGGAACCTTCCAATCAATATCATTTTCCTCCTTATGTTCTCAGACTCCCACAGTTAGACATAGTTAGCATGAGTGTGTAAATGAATAATTCTTTCTGATAACTTACCATGTCATAATTATTAGTTTATGAAGTCCATAAATATTTGTAGAATTGAATTTGAATCAATGGATATGTTTTAGACATGACTTTCAATGCTTGAAACTAACAAAAGTTTCATTCAAATCTTCATTAGATAATTCAGAAATCAAAATCAGTTTGGCAACATGCCAGCTTTTCTGTTATAAATAGCCCAGTTCATAAAATCATGACCAAAAACTACTAGAGATATTCCAGCTATTTTGTCAAGCCACAAATAACATTTAGAATAAGATTAGTCCATATGGAAAAGAAGTAGACTAAATGTCATGGTTCAGGCCCAGGCTCTTCCTTTTAGCTCTAAGACCTTAGCTAAGTACTAAAAATCACTACTCTTCAGTTTCTTCACCAATAAGATGTAAATGATGAGTTACCATTTCATAATGTAATTGGCAAAGTTTAAGTTAATTTATATATGTCAGGTGTTATAAACTTCATAATTTTTTAAAAAAATTGGCAGACAATATGCACTGCCAAAAGATGGCTAAATTCCTGACTGCCATGTTTTCCTAATTCAGAAAGAGTGCTATGATTTTCTAACACCCCTAAGAAAATAAACAAGGATGCTCTAATCTACCCATGTTAGTCTCCCAACACATGGCCTGTAATCAGCGTAGGGGTGAAAAATGGAGTTAAATGGCAGCTGTAGATGGGGCAGCCAGGAAAGCTTTTTCTTAGTCATTAACACAAATAGGTATGATTGGGTTAGGCTGCCCCGTTTTTCTCTTTCCTCTTGTTCCTGCCATACCTCCATGGGAAGTGACCATCTAGTTGTCAGAGGAAGAGGACAAAAATCAACAGAAGAAGAAACAGAAAATATCTAAATATATACAATGGCGACAATAAAACTATAGCAACACAACATTACCTATCTCTACACTTCTTGTCACTTAAGAATGACACTTGATATTGCTTCATCTTCCAGTTCTGGATATCTTGATGTTGTGGGAATTGCTGTGAGATATGTATTTTTACAAATAAATCACATTCCAAATAAGGGATTAAAAACTAGAGGAATGAATACTATGTTTTAAATACTCTACTCTAGAGGTCAACTGATCAACATGAATTCAGGGCCAGCATGGGTCTAGTAACATTCCCTCTGCTACAGATAAAGGTTGTATCATCAGTGTTAAAAGATTTCTTTACTTTGGTCTGAGTGACAAAAAAAAGGGGAGGAGGAGAAAATAGAGTACTAGAAACAGATCTTCATCCTCTACTAAAAAGATGAATCAAATAGCCTCTTGTTCAAATATATAAATAACAGCTCATTTGAACTCCAGGAAGCATGTTTCTAAAATGAAATGCTTAAACGAGGTAAAATTAAGAGAACTGACCTTTATGGTGACCAGTGACAAAGTCATCCAACTTTGCAATTCATTCATTGACGAACCAAATTGATTAGGCATATATAATATGCAAGGCACCATAAATGAACAAACCGCATCCTGTGGGCTTAGTATCTTAAAGGAGATGCATTTTACAGGATTCTTAATACAAAAGAGGGGTAGATTAAGGTTGGATCTTAAATGACAAAGTAAGTCAAAGGCTACAGACGAGGTTCTTTCCAAATACATGGAAAACATTATCAGAACACAGGCTATCAATACTGACACCAACAGCAGGGAAGGAGTTTGATTTTTGAGTAAAAACCAACTTCTAAAACTGCTTCCACTTAAAGAATCAAAAAGCCTTTGCTGAACTTGCCCCTCACTTGATCTAGTCATATACTTCTCTGCCTTCTTCGAGTTTGTATTTTGCAGAAGAGAAGTATGAATCCTAGAAAGGTCACTGGGCAAACTTGAAGGGAATTCCTTGAAAGTGTACCAATGACTGAATGCTGCAAAGTTCCATTGTCTAAGTGGATGTGGAAAAGGAGGGGGTGGTGCAGGTTCCCCATAGCAGCATCAACTGCAACTGCATGACTTCGCTATTTCCACATGTACCCACATTAAAAGTAATACTTTATAAGGTCTTAGAAAAAATTTGTAAGAGTTTATAAAACTATGCCAAACCAGTTGAAAAGTTAAGGAAAACTTCATTAGAGACTATTAGAACAGAGAAGAAAGAATAAACTCCATGCTACTAAAACAAAAAGGTAATGTTAAAGTAATGGGAGCTTATAGATGCCCTGTGTGGTCAGGTCATTTGTTTGCTAATTGGTGATCATCAAAGTTTGGCTCTTAAACTACCACAGAGTCTAAACTATGGGGATGGGAATGTTTTCTTGATAATATTTCTAATGGACGGCTCCCAGATCCCTTTACAAAGGCAAAAATCTTAATTATACATGTTTCAAAGAGACAAAAAAAAATTGTTAGCAAGTTTTATAACAGTGCTTAAAAAGACATATGTGGGGGGGAGGGGAACTTGTAAAGTTTAGTCAGTGAGTAGAGTTTAATCAGACCATGAAGCTTAGAGGCATTCAGATCTGTTTCTTATCACCAGAAGTGTAGCGGCCAGCATTTCATAGTAAAGGAACTAAGATATTTTTCCTTTTAGTAGGTAGGTCACATGCCCTAGATGACTTTTAAATGTTTATTAAAATGCTCATTAAAATAAACATTTAATAAACTTTTGCAAAACTAGTAATTTCCCTTTTCCCTTAAAAAGTTGAAAAAGGAAAAGATGCCATTGTATTTTAAACATCCCAAAATAGATGTAAATATAGGTGGAAAATCCAATGAATGTCTATTAAAATTCACCTCCTGAAGCCAACTTTCTACCTGCCATTATCCTACTCTGTATCCCTCTTCACTGTCATTGTCTCTTGGGTATCAATTCCTAGCATGTAAAGTCAAGGAATAATTCTAATTCAACTTTCAACAATATTAGTGTTTAGTTCATGTTGGGATACAAAGAATAAAGTTGCACAAATTATTCTTCCAGATGACGCATACAAGATTGAAAACTAAGTGATTTTATCTGTTTCCTTGATAACTTCATCGTATTCAATGCTCAATTTCGTTTTGGGCTGAAAAAAAAATAATTCTTAAAGATCTACATCACTTCCTGGTTATCATTGTCACATAACAGATTTGTTGATTTTAACTTACCTGTCATCTGTGGCTTTCTCTTATTTCTTTGCTTCTCCCTGGTCCTGAGTGCATTCTTTTCCAGGAAAAATACAGAAATTTATGCTTGATTACAGGATGACTGGCAGTTGTATGTGTAACTATTAGAATCTCCCTGTAAACTCCATGAGTTAAAGAATATGATGAAAGGATCCTTTCACTAGTCCTAAAGAGGTTTTCTACAATCTCTCAGAACAGCGAAAAATCACAAATGTAACCTCTGGCAGCGCATCAGGCTACATACCCATGCTTTTTTTTCCTTACAACATCTGCCTTCTGGCAATGCAATTCTCATTTGCAATTCTAAACCAGTTCCTATTGGCTTTGACTACATTTCTAAAATTATTTTAGCTCTGTCTCCATTTGTATTTGAACCCAGATGACTTTGCTTACCCTGTCTAGGGCGGCTCACTGGAAGATATTGAAGGGCATATACTTTTACAAGATACTGGGAAAACAATTACACTTCTGGGAAAACATACAGAAATGCAACTAAGCCTGCCTAGAGAGCGCTCTCTCAGGAAAGGTTTCCATGTTTAGTAAAGGTATGGAGAGGTGTTACTTCACACAAAAGATTCCTAAGACTTAAACTGGTCTGAAGATGAGATGGATTTCACAAAACATAGAGTTGCTCAGAACTGGGGATCTGTTAAAGGAAACATAAAAATAGAGCCGAAGCTAGGAACCTGTAAAAGAATTTATGATAATGATATTTTAACATCTGCCAGGTCCTAGTCATCTGATTGCAAACAGAGGTGCTAGTCTCTCTAGTACCCTCCCAAATGAGAAACGGTGACTTGATCAGCCCTCACCCTGACTGTTGATGAGCAGCTTAATATGTTATCCCTCTTAGTATTTTTTTTTTGTTTGTTCTACTTAATACTTTTGGTTGAATACTGTAATCAATACACAATTCTTCTTAAGTGCTGAAACTTAACTGAAAAGTGATCACTGTAAAATATAAGAGTGGTAATAAGAGAGGGAAGAGACGTGCAATTCGGGACATGCTCAAGCTGACTTACCTCAAACGGTAGAGTTAGAAATCATACCAGGGGATTCGAATTCAATCCCATTGAGGTGGCATGTACCAATGCCATCTCACTTGTCCCAGTGGTCAATTTCTGTTCACAATTGATCGTAATGATAGGACTAAGAACCAAAGGGATCACATAAACAAGAATAGTGTCTGCAAATACTAGCTGATAGAATCAAAAAGGGAGAGAATGATCCAACATGGGAAGTGAGATACACAGCAGACCCATAGAATGGCAGATGTCCTAACAGCACTCTGGCCTCATAATCAGCCCTTAAGGCATGCGGATCCGGCTGAAATGCCCATGAGAGTATTTCAGGCATGGAAAGCCAAGACACTCTGGGGGAAAAAAAAAAAAACCTAAATGAAAGATCTCCACAAGTGAGATCCCAGTGGAAAGAATGGGTCATCAAAGAAGGAGGTACCTTTCCCTGAAGGGAGGAGAGAACTTCCACTTTGACCATGGCCTTGTCTAAATATGATCAGAGTCAATGAACTCAGGGGGCTTCCATAGCCTTGGCAGCTCATGACAAGAGCCTAGGGTGATTACTGATGCCATAAACAAGAGTGTCAATTTGTTAAGTCAACAACAGGAGTCACTGTGCACTTACTCCTCATGTAGGATCTTTGTCCTTAGTGTGCTGTACATTGAGATTGAATGCTATAACTAGTACTCAAACAGTATTTTTCACTTTATGTTTCTGTGTGGGAGCAAACTGTTGAAATCTTTACTTACTGTATGCTAAACTGATCTTCTGTATATAAAGAGAATTGAAAATGAATCTTGATGTGAATGGGAGGGGAGAGGGAGTGGGAAAGAGGAGAGTTGCGGGTTGGAGGGACATTATGGGGGGGAAGCCATTGTAATCCATAAGCTGTACTTTGGAAATTTATATTCATTAAATAAAAGTTAAAAAAAAAGAAATGTAATTAAAAGGTACAGTCATTGGTGCCAGCACCATGGCACAGGTTAATCCTCCACCTGCAGGAGTGGCATCCAATCCAGCTCTCTGCTGTGGCCTGGGAAAGCAGTAGAGGATGACCCAAGTGCTTGGGCCCTTGCACCCGCAAGGTAGACCAGGAAGAATCACCTGGCTCCTGGCTTCGGATCAGCATAGCTCCAGCCACTGCAGCCATTTGGGGAGTGAACCATCAGACAGAAGACCTCTCTCTATCTGTCCCTCTCACTGTCTGTAACTCTACCTCTCAAATAAAATCTTTAAAAAAAAGTGATACAGTCATTACATTTTTACTCAAATATAGGATTTCTCCTTCTAAGGAAGGTGAAGTCAATGTTGGCAATTCCTTAAATGGCTTATGTTTATATTTGTTAAATAAATTTTTTATTGGAAGATAATTTACAAAAGGGAAGGCCAACACTCATAGGTATTGTAATTCAATGAATTTTCTCAGAAACACACACATGCAGCCACTACTCTGATCAAGAAATGGAACAGTCTACATGAGTTGATGGTTTCTCTACCCTGCCTCAGGTACCACACATAGTACTTCTCTCAAGCTAACTTATATTTTCTGGTCCTCTTATCACAACAAATGGATGTAGCTGATTTTGATTTTATATAGATGAAGCCGTACAATATGTAACCCTCTGTATCTTGTTGGCCCTCAATATGATAATTGGATTTCATTCATATTGCCTTGCTAGACACTAGTTGATTCATTCTTCCAGAAATTTCAGTACAAAGTAATACATTTTTATCTATACTACATGAGAGTTCTTCCAAGTTTGGGATATTAAAATTAATGTTGCTATAAATATGCTCATGCCTCTAATACACATTTACATTTTTATTAGACACATACCTAGAAATGGATCATCTGGGTCATGGACTAGCATTCCAGCCAGGATCACATAGTTGTTTTCGATCCTTTGCAAGAGGACTTTGTCTAGTTCTTGGAACTGGGCCAACCTCCTACTCCCTGAAAGTACACACACCACACAGTCACACACTGGATCACATATAGCAGGCTGGAAGTCAGTGGATTAATAGCTTGGTAGTAGTCCTTACATAATGGTTGACTCAAATCCCAGTGCATCTTTTACATGTTCTCGAGTCAACTCCAGTTGTGCACACCGATACTTTGTTCGGCAACACGTGACTTTCTTGGGCTTCCTTCATACTGTTAGGAAAAGAGCTGCCTATTGATGCCCCCTCACACAAGGAACCATAAATGAAAGGAAAAGAGGCGTGGAATAGAGAGGAGGCAGTGTATGAATTTACAACCAGATCGAATTTAATCAGAAAATAAATTTGGAGAGGTGGGTGACCAACTGCCAACAAACACATGATGGAGCACAGGCCAGAAGGCCGTGACTTCCAGGGGTCTGTCCTTGCTATAGTTTAGGAGGGCTAGGGATGGGGGTGGAGGTAGGGGGCAGCAGGCAGAGGGGAATTCCTGGAACTGGTCTTTCAGGTGGCCATGGGGGGTGGGATATGAAGGCAACAGGGTGTGAGACCCAATTGAGATTCAAGGGCAAAGAATACATTCCAATGTTTATCTATCATTTGGGCTATGAGGGAGAATGGCTCGGGTTTATGTCTTCCTTCCATCAAGTACCATCTCACTTCAGCAAATAAACCCCTTGCGAAGATCTGTCTTGTGAGAGCAAAACTAAAATAAAGGGTGTGGATTTGTTTGGTTCTGGTTCATAGCATTAGGTTTTACACCAGATTTTAGCCAAAAGGCCAAGAAGCGATTCATAGCATTAGGTTTTGTTTTTGTTTTGTTTTGTTTTTAAAACACTGAGAGAGCCAATTAATGTCCTCACCAGCCAACTGTGTACTTCACATTGTTAAAAAAAAATAGCATCCAGCCTTGGCAGTCCTCGATTTTAGCAATTTTGTTAGGTATGTGGTTTACAAAGTCACTATGATTTTATTTTTTGAATTTTCTATTAATGATAGAATATATACACAAGCATGCATATTTGGGAGAGAGAGAAGGGGAGAGGGTTTCAGCTACTGTTTGATATCATTTATGTTAAAATCTTTTTCACTTCCCTATTGAATTTCTGACTGACATGAAGGGTTTCCCTATATATTTTGTTTATAATCCCTTTCTGAATATTTATTACAAATACTTTTTCCTGTGGCTTTTTGTACTCTATTAATGGTGTTTCTGAGTAGACAAAGTATTTCCTTTTAATCTATACAATTTATCATTTCTTTAATGCTTAACCAAAGATTACTCATAAGTAAAAAAGCACTAACTCGGGTCTTGAAATACTTATATCACCTTCGAGATGCTTTCCTAGTTTATTTATACATACAATCCAATTGGAATTGATTTTCTGTATTATATGAAGTAGTATTAGGCAATATATTTTCCATAAAAGTATCCAGTTGACCCATTTCATTGATTTTAAACGGTCAGCCTTTTCCAAAACCTTGTGTATGATCTGTTTCTGTAGCCATTAATGTGTTCCATTAGTTTATGTATCCTTAGGCCAAACCCAGTGTTTTAACTGTAGCTTTGTTTCTTACTATCATTTTTAAATTTTGGATTAACATGCAATACTTGATTTCAGAGATAGAGTGGTACTGCAGCACATACAGAGAGTAAACCAAACATACCAGGCAACTAGTCTCTCTATTTCCTTCCTTTTCTTTGTGTGATGTCTACTAGCTCTTCAGTTCTAATTCTTATAAAAACATGATTGTGAGCTATAATTAGCACACTGTGCAGCAAAATAGCAGAACATACTACATTCATTTGCCTTATTGCAGTATTGCAGCAATATTCTACCACCCTTCTTTTCCCCTTTCTCAGCTTCTAGTAATCAGTATTTTAAATTCTGTGCATACACCCATACACACATGACTTTGACATTTGAGATGGAACATGCAGTATCTGTCTTTCTGGGTCTGGGTTATTTTACTTAATGTGATGATCTCCAGATCTATTCATTTGGCTGCAGTTGACAGGGTTTCACTTTTTTATGGTCAAACAATATTCTCTGTGTGTGTATGTGTGTGTGTGTCAGATTTTTTAATTGATCCATAGGTACATAGGTTGAGGCCTAGCTTTCATGAATAGTGCTTTTGTTGAAATGTGAGAGGCAGGTATGTTTCACATTCTGATTTCACTTCACTACAGGTGCATAATGGGAAGTGGCATAGCTAGGTCATATTGACACTGGAGAAAAGGCCATGGAAGTCATGGGGTTCTTGTCTTCATGCAAGAAAGAATTCTGCCATGAGACAGAGAGCAAAGTGATAAGGATTTATTGGCCTGTGCATCTGTCAGAATGGAAGGGATATGGAGATTGCCCAGTCACTCAGACTGGGGGAGAACAAGGTTACATGGTAGAATGGAGAGAACACACCTGGGCAGGCCAGCTGGACAGCTCAGCAGAGCGCAGGGGGGCTGAGTGTTAGTATATCTGGACTCCATTGTTTTATAAGGGAGTTTGTTTACCCACCTCCTCCTCTCTTCTAGGACAAGGATGGGGAGTCCTAGTGGAAGGGTTTGTTGGGTGACAATTAATAAAATCCTCCCCAGATTTTTGGTGCCCTGAACAGAGTAGAAAGGCTTCCCTTAGGGCATCTGTGAAGGTTTTATTGCCCCATATTATCAAGTCAGGTAACTCATTTGGTTCTGAGGAAGAGGATTCTCCTGGGAGCTTTCCTTGGGAAGGGCTGGTACCACTTGGAAGGTTATCAGGGTCTGGGCAGGTCTTTGAAGTTCAGAATGCTGGGCTTCTGGAACTTCCGCAGTAAGTGCTGGTTTTCAGGCCCTTCTCACACTCACATAGGCTAAATCTCTAACTTCCTTCATAACAATATATTAAACCTATTGTTAACTTTTTGAGGAAACTACATCTCCTCTTCCTTATAGACTGTGCTAATTTTCATTTCCAACAGCAGTGTGTAAGGCGTTCCTGTTCTCCACATGCATACCAGTAAATTTTTTTTGCTTATTGATAATAGCTATTTTAACCAAACTGAGATGGTACCTCAGAATGGTTTTGATTTGCATTGACCTGATGGTTAGTGACTTGAGCATTTTTTTTTTCATGTGTTAGTTGGACGTTTGTACTTCTTTTGACCTAAATCTATTCAGATTGCTTCCCATTTATCAACTGGGTTGGTTGTGTTTCACTGATGTTGAGTTTCCTATGTTATATAACTCATTTGTCAGATGAATAGTTCATGAGTATCTTCTGCATTCTGTCCCTTACACCTTCACTCAGTTGTCTGTTGTCTTCATGCAGCAGCTTCTTAATTTGATCTCATTTATCTATTCTGCTTCTGCCTGAGTCTTGAGGACTGTTCTAAAAATGTTTATGCTCTGTTTTCTTTTCTTTTTTTTTTTTTTCAAAGATTTATTTATTTATTTGAAAGGCAGAGGCAGACAGATATCCACAATGGCTGGAGCTGTGCTGATCCAAAGCCAGGAGCCAGGAGCTTCTTCTGGTCTCCCATGTAGGTGCGGGGCCCAAGGACTTGGGCCATCTTCTACTGCTTTCCCAGGCCACAGCAGAGAGCTGGTTCAGAATTGGAGCAGCCGGGACTTGAACCGGCACCCATATGGGATGCTGGCACTGCAAGTCACAGCGCCGGCCTTACATTCTTTTTTAGTCCTTATCCATCTATAATAAATACTTTACCACAGATATTACCATCAGGGCACAGATTACTTGATATCTGGCTTCTTAAAAATATTAGCGTTTTCATATTTCAGTAATATCATTTTTAATGATCAAATGAATGAGCAAACAAATAACAACTTAATTAAGAAATTAAAACTTTTGCTCCTATTGATAGATGTATTACTATTTCCCCAGTTTTCTTATTTACTCCTCATGGGCTGGGTGGTCTCCTCGTTTTGTCCTTTGGTCTTGGGAATGTCCTCATCCAATGCTGTTTTCTTATAGTTTCAGATCCTACATCTAGATCTTTGACTTTGAGTTGATTTTTATGTAGTGAGAAGTGGGTAAGAAAGGTGTTTTTTCAATTTTTTATACCTGAGCTACTCAGTATTTTCAGCACCCTTTCTTGTAGACTGTCTTTTCTCCAAGGCATGTTTGTGGCTCGCTTGTTGATTATAGGTACACGGACTCATTCTGAGGTTTCTCTTCTGTTCCATTGGTCTATGTGTTTTATCCTAGTACTTCGATGCTTTGATTTCAATAGGTCTATAGTTTGTCTGAAGATAGAGTATTGCAATGCCTCCAGCCCTGTTCTTTTTGATGAAGGTTACTGTAGCTATTCTGGATTTCTGTTGCTTTCCTAATGAGATTTTGAATTCTGTGAATTTGGGGGGGGGGGGTTGCATGAAATCTATAAATTGCTTTGAGTAGTGTGGACATTTTAATGATGTTCATTTTCCCAATCCATGAACATGGGAGGCCTTTGCATTTTTGCTTCTTATATTTATTTCTGAAGTGTTTTACAGTTTTCATTGTAGAGGTATTTCACATCCTTGATTTGATATATTCCAAGGTACTTTTTGTGCCTATTGTGAGTGGAATTAATCTTTGAGTTTGCCAACAAGTTCACTATAGGGACATGAAAATCCTATTTTTGTATGTTGCTTTGGTATCCTCCAACTTCACTGAATTCCACTATCAGTTCCAGTAGTCACTTGGCAGAGACCTTGAGTTTCTATCTAACTAGAATCATGTCAATTACAAGCAGAGATAATTGGACTACTTCCTTCCCTGTTAGTATGGCTTTCATTTATTTCTCGTGCCTAACTGCTCTTGCTAAAACTTCCAGTAATATTCTGATTAAGAGCAATGAGAGTGGATATATTTGTCTGGCTCCAGATCGCACAGGAAATACTTCAAGCTTTTTTAAGCTTTTTCACATTCAATATGACGATCATTGTGGATATAGCATTTGTGATATTGAGGTATGTTCCTCTACTCATAATGTGCTCAAGGTTTTTTATTATGAATGGGAGTTGAATTTTATCAAATGTTTTTCCTGCATTTA